AACACTTGGCACGCACTGATGGAGCCCCGCAGCCCGGCACGGGAAAAGGGACACGGGCTGTGACCCCTCGGGGTCCCCCAGGCTCGGGGGTGGCTTTGGGGCTCCCCCTGCACTCACAGGTGGCTGGGGGAGCTCAGGAGAGAATGAAATAAAAACGAACTCGGTGGGATCCCAAAGGCTGAGCCCTGCGGGGATGGAAGGGCCCCAAGGGCTGCCGGAGCTCTGCAGTGCTGCCCTGACCCCAGCCTGTCCCACCGGGGTGTGGAAAGTGCAGAGTTAATGCATAGTTACAAAGCCAACCATCCCAGGGTCATTAATTAGTCTCACTAGAGCAATTAGTGAAGTGGCACCGGTTCAGCCCAGAGCTAAGCTCAGTCTCCAGGCTCAGGTATGGACCAGGGTGGGGACAGGGGAATTGCCACCACCAGGCTCCTCCCAGCACTGAAAATTAAAAATAAAAAAAAGGCTTTTCCCTTAATTTGATTTGGTCCAACACAATTGTGCTTCAGAGAGCAGAAAAAGCGTCAGCAGCCAGGGCTGGCTGCAGGCAGCTACTGAGGATGCTTTGTCCCCTCACATGTCTGTAGGAATTTGCCTTAAATCCCATTTCACTCAACCTCTCCTTCTCCAAATCACAAAATGATGCTCATTCTGATCCAGGCATTGGCACAGAGCAGGAACAACTGCTCAGGGTGGCTTCAGGTGAGGGATAATGGCTTTGTGTCTGAACAATCTCTTTGGAAAAAATTCCTGAAAATACCTTTTTGCACTGCTGGCTTTTAGAGCTGCCCAGTCCCCAGGCAGGAGGGAAGTTCCCAGAAGGAACTTCATGGTTCCTCCCCCAGCACAACCTGGGAGCTCAAAGCACAACAGGGACAGAGCAGCAGCTCCAAGGTCCCAGAGCTGCTGGGAGGGATGGATGGGTGGGTGGGACACTGCTCACTGCTGTGTCCTTCAGCCTGGGCTCACTGGGGAGCTCACACTGATCCTCAGCTCACCCCTCTGATGCCCTGGTGCCCACTCCTGGTGTCCCTGTGCCACTCTCAGGGCAAGGCCACCAGTGCCACAGGAGCTCAGGGCAGCCCCAGTCCTGTCACACAGACTGTCACTGTCCCTAATGCCCATCCTGCTGTCCCTGTGCCACCCTCAGGGTCAGACCCTGCCTGACCCAGGCCAGCAGTGCCACAGGAGCTCAGGGCAGCCCCAGTCCTGTCACACAGACTGTCACAGCCAGATGCAGAGCTGGCCCCAGGGGACAGGGACTGCCCAGGGCTGCTGGCTCTGTGCTCAGCACGAGTGTTTGGTCACGATGGCAGTGCTGTCCCTGCACCCAGCAAGTCCTGCAGGCCAGTTCCAGGGCAATGAGGGTGGGTGCACACCCAGGCAGGGGCACTGGGATGTGTTCAGGTATTTGCACTCCTGCAGGAATGTGCCTGCAGTGAGAGGGACAGGCTGTGGAACTGAACTCAGCTCACACCAGGACCCAGAGCTGGGACTGCTGCAGTTCAACGTCTGCCATGGGGATCAGGAGGATTTGCTGTAACCAAAATAGATCTCTGGAGTCTTTGGCCATCTCAGAGGGGCATTCAGTGCCTGCTTTTAGGGCTGCAGGTAAGGTTTTGCTCTGTGCAGCCCTTCCTTCAGGAACTGGAGGTAAGTTGCAGTTGAAGGGTCTTCAAAATTGGTTGAGAAACTAAAGATGCTGCTTTCAACATCTTCAGGCTTCATGGAAGTAATGTCCAGGAAATAGTTGGCATTGATGTGGTGAACCTGGTCAGAAAACAGATGAGAGGAGACTTCTAAGGGTCAGAACAATTCCCCATCCCTGCCTGGCCTGCAGCCAGCACAGAGAAGTCAAGGCTCTAACAGCTCCCACAGAATATCTGATTCTTGTGCTAATTCAGGAACCAGAATTTGGGTCTGAATTTCAGTCAGAGAACAATGTGTGATCCTCCCCCAAGGGTGCTGACCCTTTGCTTGGGTTAAGAAGAGGATGAAGAACTAAAACACATTTGTTCTGGTTTCCAGGGGCAGGGAGCAAGGCTCAGGGCCAGCCCCAGCTCTGGCAGACCCTGCAGAGAACAGATGCCATGGAGGAGCCCAGCCTTACCACCGTGCCGTTGGGGAGGCAGATCATCATCTCCACAGGGAAGTTGTATTTCTCCAGGTGCAGCTTGGCCAGTTTGCTGTGGAGCTCATTCTCTCTGTTGCTCTGCAGGGAGACACCAAAACCACACACTGGCACACCCCACAAGGGGCAGAATGGCACAGGGGAGCCCACGGGAGAGCAGGAGGGAGCAGAGCAGCTTTGCAGTGCAGTGGTAACTGGTACCACTCTCACAGGCTGCTTTCCCTTTCCCTCTCAGGCTCCCTCTCCCATTTCAGCTGCAGATTTTCTCCCCAGACAAGAAATCACCCCATCACAGGCACACCAAAGTGTGATCCCAGCCCTTCCCAGTCCCCAGCTCTGTGACTGATCCCAGCTGACAGCACAGGCTCACAAGGGGGAAAGGCTCAGCCAGGAGCCCCAGGGCTCAGACAGTTATTTGGTTATTTGGTTATTTGCTTGTCCCCTGGGCTGCAGGGCAGTCAGCTGGCTGATGGCACCAGAGGCCTTGGGCAGGGCTGTCTCACAGGGAATCATCTGTTTTAGCTTTAAACCTGGCACCAGGACAGAGCCAAGGGGGTCACAGTGCCCCATGTCAGCCTGCTCCATCTGCTGTCTGCCTGGCCCCTGCAGCAGCCAAGCACAGCGAGGGCTGGGCACAGAGATCCCCCTGGCAGCCCAGCAGAGCGTGAGCCTCACCTGCAGCTCCTCCAGCTCCTTGACCAGGGACCAGCTGCTGATGAAGCTCTCGTTGAGCAGGGCGAGGATGGGCGAACTTTCCAGGACGGTTTCCCGGAGAGTTCGCCCCGAACCTGGCACGGGAAGAGGCACAGGAGGCTTTGCTGGGCTTCCTCAGGGCACTGTCACCGTGCTCGATGCCAGCTGCTGAGTGCCAGCTGGCTCTGGCTCCCCCAGCCCTCCCCACTGCCTTTTTGCTCCATTTCTGGCAGTTTTCCATGGCTTTTGTTGCCCACAGGTGCTGCTGGCAGAGCAGAGCCCAAGGCGGGCACAGAACAGGAGAGCCATAGCAGCCACCCCCAGTGCCACCTGCTGCTCATGCCAAGCATGAGGGTCCTTCAGGGCACACAGGACTGAGGAGACCCTTCCCCTCCTGCCCAAGGTGGCACAGAAGCTCTGAGGCACTGAGTGGGAAAAGCTGCACACCAGGACAGCCCTAAGGCCAGGCCTGGCTCTGACCTGTGCTGTGCAGGTGCCAGGACAAGGCACACAGAGCAGTGCCCTTTTCCTGCCAATGCTGCCTCTCCTCTTCCCCAGCAGGAGAGAGGAAGGGGAGAGACCAGAGCCATGAGTCCACTTTGACAAAGGCACCTGACTCAGACAGAGCTGGTGCTGCCACTGGGCAGCTGAGATCTCATCAGTAATTCCCACTCCCAGCTCCCACCAGTGATTCCCACTCCCAGCTCCCACCAGTGATTCCCACTCCCAGCTCCCACCAGTGACTCCCACTCCCAGCTTTGTCTGTCCAGCACCCCCAGAGCCCAAACAAGCAGCTCATGGTTTCCTGCAGCCCCCTGACCCCCATCCCTGCAGCCAGGCTGGCAATGCCCTCACCTCAGCAGGACTGGTCATCCAGGGCTCCCCAGAGCAGGATGGAGTGCACCAGCTTCTTCTCTGCTCGTGCTCTCTCAAAGGCTTCTGTGAAGGGCAGGTAGGAGACCTGGGGGCAGAGGGACAGTGTGAGGGACAGGGACACAACAGCCCAGCTCCAGCAGGAGCAGCTCTGAGGGAACCAGACCCGGGGGGGGACACACACAGAGCTCAGTCTGCAGCAGCACCTGCAGATTTAAAGTGGTAACTGTGATAAACTGATAACTGTGATAAAGTGGTAACTGTGATACACTGATAACTGTGGTGGTGTCTCCAGGGGCAACTTTATCTCCTGGGGAGGCTGTGGCCCCCTGTCCCTGTCCCTGCAGAGCCCTGACCTCACACACTGCAGAGAACACCTGCACCAGGGTGCCCAGGCTGTCTGCAGCCCCACCTCAGCTGCAGGGAAACCTGGCCTTGAGATATTTATTACAAACCTCCTGAAACAGCCTGAGAGCTGGCTGAGGAGCCTGCACAGAGCTGCTGCAATCACTCCAGTGAAAGGAACTGATATGAACATCTTGGCAGCCTGAAGGGACATTTGCAAGCTCGGGCACGAGGAAGCAGCCACCAAAACGTGTCCCTCCAGCCAAGGCAGCAGTGACAGGCAGTGGCCATCTGCTCCACAGCCTGCTGGCATGTTAAATGGTTTGGGTCACCCAGAGCTGTACATTTGTGTCTGGCTGCAGGCTGCAGAGGCACAGGCAGCTCGTGTGTTCTCTGCTGATAAGGAGAGCTTGGTCCAGAGGCACCTGGCTGCTGTGCCAGTGAAGCCAGAGCAAAAAGCATTTGTAAGCAGCACAATTACCTGCCTGCTCCACACTCACAGCACAGCCACTGATAAGAGGCAGGAAGGATGAGCCTACACCTACAGTACAATCCTGACATGGAGAATTTGCTGCTGCCTGTGCTGCTGTGTGACCCCAAACCCCCTGGGACACCCTCCCAGTGCCCTGGATGCTGCTCAGGCTGTGCTCTCTGGACCCTGCTGGCCCTCCAGGTCACTGGGTGGCTCAGTGAGGACGATCTGCCCCAAATCAACGTGCCAAGGAGAGCCCAGCCCCTTGCTCACCTTCTTAAAGGGGTACATGGCCACCTCCAGCCTGTGGGCCGCCTCCTGCCAGGGGATCTGCTGCTGCCAGGTGATCTCCTCAAACACAAACTGGATGGGCTCCCCCGAGGGGTCCCTGCTGGCCAGGACCTTCCCGTCCTCATCGTGGATCACGGAGGGCACCGAGGGCCCTGTGGCCTCCAGCTCCATCTGCAGGGAACAGCCTGGCTTGGAGCTGCTCCCAGCCCTCTCCTGGTGCTCCAGGACAGGGCACAGATCCTAAACAACACCGTGCAGCCCCTCAGGAAGGCACAGCCTGATCTCCCATCTCCTGGAGCTGCACTGTGCCAGTGAGACACCAGGAGAGGAAGTTCATTTCCCTCAGTGTGGCTGCACTCTCTGGGTTGGGAATGCACAGAGTCCACGTTCCCACCTTCCCAGTGCTGTGGGACACCAGATGCTTTCAGCCACCAGGATCTGCAGGCCTCACTGGCAGCCCTTGCTCTGTCACCAGCTCAGCCCTGGGAAGCCACGAGAGGGAGCAGCAGGAAAAGCTGCCCAGGAGCTTCCCTGTGGCTCTGCTACAGCTGGAATGATTCTGCTAAATCTGACTTCTGCCAATTAAAAATAATCACAGCTCTAGTTTAGGAGAACATGGGCCTGGTGAATTCAGGCATTCAGAATTCTGCCTTATGTTTCCTGTCCCAAGAGCTGGGATTACCACAAAAAAGGGGAACAACCTCGTGCACTTTCTAAATCCAGACCCACAGTTGTTCATACCCTGCTCAGGGCCCAGGTTCAGCTCCTCATCTTCCCTCCTGCCTGTCAGGCAATGTTTTAAAAAAGGGAAAAGTCTCCAAAAGCTTAGGATTCAACGCACACTGAGGGAAAAAGGAAAATCAGAAGAGCTGCCAGTGGGGCTGCAGAGGACAGACAGAGACAAATGGAAATTGCACTGCTGTACTGAAATGATCCAGGGAGAGCTCCAAGGAATGGGGTACAGAGGTTCCAGAGGTTTGTGGCAGCACAAAGCCCCGAGGAGCTGCCCAGGTGTGGGGCACAGGACAGGGCACTGACCTGGGGCAGGTATCCAATGTCCACCTCCATGTTGCTGCTCTCGCTTGCCCCGTAGAGCCACTCCATGTCCACGTTCAGGGACCTGCAGGGGAACAGCAGGGCTGCAGCTGGGCAAGGGAACCCCAAACTGTGCAAGGGAACCCCAAACTGTGCAAGGAAACCCCCAAACTGTGCAAGGGAACCCCAGAATGGAGCCCAGGAGTGACCCAGGGCTCTGAGTCTGGGAACCCCCAAACTAAGGGAACATCCTCCTGCAGGGCCAGCACCAGACCCAGAGCCTCTGGAGATCTCTGTGCTCCCTGCAGCAGCCCAGGAACACCAATCCTGCTGGCCCAGGGCCCAGGCACCCACTCAGCACTCTGGAAATCACACTCAACACCTCTGAGCTCTGTCAAATGACAGGAAAGAGAGATGTCTTTGCTCCCTCATCCTTCCCAGCACTTCGCTCGCACATTCTGATCCTGCTGAACTTTTAAAAGTGTTTTTCTGGAAGCAAAAGGCTGCTGGCAGAGCCCAGAGTGGCTGCTGGCTGTAAGAAATGTGCTGACAGAGCCACTGGGGTTGAGTCGCCAGGGTAACGTTGTAATAGAATTTTCACTCTTGTCATGGGCAAAGAAATTTGAAGCTCCTTCCCCCTGAAACACTTCCAGCTCCTTGCCAGAGAGCAGGAACGAGCTGCTGCACAGCTCTGCACACAAAGCCTTAACCTGTGAGACTCCAAGCAAAATAATGTGTTGGAGGAGGAGCAGCAGGCCTTGCTGAACTCCACTGGGACTGCCAGCCCTGCACCAAGGGACAGTTACTGGGTGTGAATCAGGCCCTGGATACATCAGGGATCCCCAATGGTGCAGAAATGCATTTAAAGCAACTGCAGAGCTCAGATCTCTCAGATTTTCCCAGACATGAGAGGGAAACAGCCGTACCTGTTGTTGGGAACAAAGAGCCTGAAGTCCCTGACGTGGGAGGAGTCCTTGGACAGGACAATGTAACCTGTGAACTGCCCCGGGGAGAACCAGAAGGGGAAGTTTGGTGGCTCGTTCAGCTGGAATTCGGCGTGGATCCTGCAAGGAGAGAGGAGCCATCAGCTGGGATCCTGCACTGCAGGGACAGCAGGGAAAAGCTGTCTCCAGGCACCTGAAACTATGAACCTCAACTGGGCAGGAGAGGTGGAGCTTAAACAGCTTTTCATGTCACACAGTGAGGAGGGTGAGACTGGAACAGATGCCCTGGGTCAGGAGCACCTCCTGTACCCATGCCTTCTGGAACTGGGCAGCCAGGGAGGATGAAGTAATTTATCACTCCTTGAAACACAGGGACAGAACAAGGCCCCTTTAGCTTGCTCAGACACATCAAAGCTGTGAGCAACAATTCTGTGGATTCTCCCCCTTGGAAAGACACTCTGACAAACCTAAATCTAACAGAATTCTTGCTAGCCAGATTCTCCCCTTTCAGCCAGGGGTGATGCCCTGCATGAGGGCACGGTGACACTGGCAGCACAGGGGACCCTTGGCTTGCATGAGGACACAGTGACACTGGCAGCACAGGGGACCCTTGGGTTGGCATGAGGGCACGGTGACACTGGCAGCACAGGGGACCTTTGGGCTGCATGAGGGCACGGTGACACTGGCAGCACAGGTGACTCTTGGCTTGCATGAGGGCACGGTGACACTGGCAGCACAGGTGACCTTTGGGTTG